ACTGAAACTGTTGCCAATACTTTTGGAGACGATTTAAATCTCAGAACCACTACAAAACTATCCCTTTAATTATAGCATAACAAAGACAAGAACAATTTCTTACAATCTAGGTAATATCAATATCAGGCTTTTGAAAATAACTTTTGAAACAGGGCCGGAAATGATGAACTTAAATCATTTCCATCACCTCCTGACATTTTTCGACACCCATTTTTATGTTCTATGAAGACTAGATGGACCTTCGACCGCGCTTAGTTGAAAATAATGCCTCCGCCATGGAGCAATTTTACAAACCAAAACAGAAGCGACCTATTTTTGCATAGATGATAAGCCCTGTGATTTTTTTTTATTTGACCTTGTTACCCCAAAATCTTATCAGTTCATTGGCTCTGCAAGATAAATACATGACCCAACTTTGGCAGGAATCCATCAATGGGTTCTTGAGATAACGCGTTCACAAGCTATTTTTGCATACATAATTAGCCCTGTGATGTTTGACCTTGGATCTCGTGACCCCAAAATCTAATCAGTTCATTGGCTCTGCAAGATACATACATGAACTAAGATTGGCGGGAATCCATCAATTAGTTCTTGAGATAACGCGATCACGAGAACGGGACGTACGGACAGACGTACGTACGGACGAACAACCCGAAAACGTAGTGCCTCCGGCTACTTTGTAACGGGGGCATAAAAAGCATAAATGTGGCCGTCAATGACCAAGCTATCCTACAAAAAGGTACCAGGAGAGGAACAATAATACATACATCATTTTCCTGTATCTCACTTTACCGTCCTATGAAGATTATGTATCTGTTAACCTTTCTCGCACTAAATATGTGTGGTCAGACAGAAACTAAATCAATTTCTACTATACCCATGAAGACTGAATTTAGGTAGACACAAAAATATGTACACTGTAAACCTATCATTTTGGCCAGTAATCAAAATACATGTTCATGAATGTAAAACATTTCATGTTGACCTTTTAGGCAAACAAATACTTGTTAGATACTAGATAACTTAACATTACACGTTCATAGCTACAAACATGAATCTGTAGAATCTTTTAAATATGGTTTACTAGTGCTTACACACAGAGGCTTATTCTTTGTGATTTCAATGGAAGATCAAGATCTTATCACCTAATAATTATAGGACCAAAGTCACATGTTTTTGTCTTAAAGTAAAGTATAGGAATCAATAATACCAGTACACTTTTGATGCAAAGTAGGAACAACTACATTCATTTAGCCTTAATCAGATTACATGCATGAAGTGGATGGAATTTGTCTTCAACATAGATAGACATGTAAACTATTGTATTGTATTGTTCACAATAAAAACATACAATAGTTTTGCTTTTGAAATTTGTCAAGTAAAATTATGACAAATACAAAATAATGTGAGGGGGGAAAAAAATCAGCTGGGCCCCATAACCTCAATGAAATGTTTCAGAGTACCTGTATGCTTCCTCTTGCAGAATTTTCCATGTTTATGCTATGTCAATACCAAAGTCTCTGAGGATTGCTATGTGTTCAGCTGTCAGTTGTTGCTGAATTTCTTGATACACAAGGATATCTTTCAATTCTGTGTATGGGTACCTGATACGAACACAGTTGAGTTTCAGGTGATAGTAGGTGGGAACGAGACCAAAAGTCTGTTTCTTTTCTCCTGACGTCTTGTCGAACCATTCTCGAATATCCATCTTCTTCAAAATTAGATCATGTGGTGGGAAATTCAATGTATTTGAGAATTCTTGTTTACAGCCGTAACATTTCTTGATCACACCAACTTTGCGAGTCACAGTGAAAGGCTGTGCTGGTCTTTGTTGAGGAATAACAGTAGATATTACAGTTGACACTGCATTGTTGGCCCCCTTTCTCTTCTGTGTGCTCTTCTTCCCACTCCCCGAACACTGCTTGTTAAGTACTGAATTAACTAGATCAATAGAAGAAGATCGCCTTTTGCCATTGATCTTGCACAAGAATTCTGCCAATTTGCCTTTTTGATCAGCAACAGCCAATGTGTGTTCACAAAAGAGGCGGTTGTGAAATGCGAATGATCTACAATTCTTGTCACAAATGAAAAGATCCTTCTGAGTAATTCTGAAATGTTGATCTCCATCAAAGCACATCATCTGATCGCTCGTTGCAGGAAAATCTACCACACTATGGTCGGTAGCCATAATTTTGCCTGCTTTCCTCCAGACTGTTCTCAATTCATGGATGGTAAATCCACCAATGCCACTTTCTTCCGGCTCAATGGATAGAGCAGCTTCATTCTCTTCTTCTACATCCAAATCTGCACATTCCAGAACAGCCCTCCTCTCTGCCATGGTCATATGGGTCCATTCTAGTTGAGTCTTCTGAAGTTCTTTGAGTCCCGGACTGACCTTCCTTTCCCCCAGGCCCATAAGGGCCATTTCCAGCTCCTTGTACTTGGACCTCACGAAAGCTTCAAGGCTATCAGCCAGGTCATCCCAGGACTTCTGCCCGCCAACCCATTTGGACAACATTGCATTAATGCTCTCACTGTCATTGGTAGTGAACTGCCGCGGCGGATCCCCTAGACCGGCCTTCTGTCTCAAGGGCTTTAGCATTGATTCCCTCACCTCCTGTGACTTGTATTGTCTGAACCATGTGGAAAACATGGGGTGTTTGCCTGTTTTCTCTTCTTCAAGACTGTCCCATCGTGTACACCAGAATTGCAGGCCTTCCTCATACTCTTTCTCTGTGGAGCTATCTACGAGACCCTCATGTCGAGTTTCCTTCACCTGTTCACCATAGATGCTCCTTGGAATTTTGTCTGCATTGTTTTTTACGCCGAGCTTCTGTAACTTGCTATCAACATTTTGCCTATGGTGCAGCATGCACAGAAGGTGATCTGATTGTTTGAAGCTATTTGTCTCTTGGAGACCCTTGTACATAGCCTTCTCTCCATCAGTTCCAAATGCTGATATCTTCTTGTTGTCTAGTGCCTTCGAGATCTGGTTTCCGAAATACCTGTATGTTTCTATGTCTTTCTTGCAATGAAGGAGGATCGGCCCAGGCATGAGCACATTCTTCTCGTTGGTTTTGTTGACGAAACCCTGATGCCGATATGATGCAATTGTGACGTACATCTTTCCAAGATCAAACGTTGCATCAAACGTGAGGACACTTCCATCAATGCAATGTTTTTTAATGTCAGCAATCTGTTTGTCTGTGTACAGGCAACATCGAGGATTGGGACCTTTCCCATCGTCATTGGTAAACTCTACGCTCCTAACAAATCCTCCTGATACATTCATTTCCATTAATCTGTTGAAATCAGTTCCCTTCTTTTCACTTGGGCTATGACGATAGACCTGGTTTCTATTGCGGGCCACAGAGGAAAATGACCCAATTCCTGTACTACCACCTTCATGGTCGAAGATTTCATTCATCTTCACTTGGGCTGATTTACCCTTAGAAGACTGCTTCAGACTTGTTAGCAATTGCTTCTTTGAGCGTATGTATGGGGTTTCATCTCGTTTGCTGTTGCCATGCGGAGTCAGCCTGAGAGCAGTTTTTTCTGTTCTCCACTCATAGCGTATCAGAACATTTGGACATGCTCGATATCCATCACGCTGCAATTCGTATACAGTCCGGAAGAATCCTGGCGTATCCCGGTGTGTGTAGTATCGTCTCAAAAGAGTGTACTCATCGCCACCTGAAAGGCCACCTTGTTTAAGAAGTTTCACATTGTTCTCTTTTCCAAGTACTAGCGCACTGCGCGAATAGCTAGGCCTGTGGTATTTTCCTGTCTCATCGCATGTTACATCTGCGGGAAATTGAAGTTTGGACGAGTCGATGATGAAGCCCAGTTCCTCATCACATGCACTGGGAACACTGCTATTGACAGTCGAGGACGGAAATAGTATCTTTTGGGCTACATCCGTGCTATTCCTATAAAATGTCTTGCTTTTCTTAAAAGCGTACCATTTCCCACGATAGAGAATGTGCTCATCCTGATGATGTGTTTCTGTTGGTGGCTTGACATCTTCCTCATCGACTACCTCCACTTTAACTCTCTTTGCACCTTCCCGAGACCTGGTCAAAATAAAGAAGGAAGAAAAAGACACTGTGTTGTAGTTGATTGTTTATACACAAATCTAGAAAGATTGCTTAATGTACTTTTTCATGAGATTCATAGGCAAATATTGTCCAGTGTTTGTTTGAAAGTATAGATTAAAGAGAAGGTTGAGTTCTGGGAAGAGGTGAAAAATAATTTGTGAACTTTATCATTCTTATTATGCAAGTGTGGAAGAACATCAGATAAGACATGTTCCCTGAAGAGCATGGCTCTTCAAATGCCTTCATATTCTAAATATGTCATGTAACATGTAAAACTTGGGGGCCGGTTTTTTACGCCACATGTTCGTGTAGTCCCATATGTACATCTTTTTGTGTACAGAAGACTTGGCCAAATTTCTTATCATTTTGATGATTCCAGAACCTTGCAATACACACAAATTCTTATATGCTAGATGATCAACCTTTTCTGATCGATTCCACACCCGTTTCTTCTACAATGCAATCGCATGACCAGAACCCAACTTCATCTTTAAGCAAAGAAATTCACGAGTGAGGGAAGTAAATAACTCTGCTCAAACTAATTTAATACGTTAGCAGTTGAGAGCTCCTGGCAATTCTGCTTGCATTAGTATGTTTCTGGATGAGTGAAATACCTTACTATGGTAGTATACACTATCTATGGCTGTGCACAACAGTGTAATAATAGTATGGTATTTTGGTAATGACAATAAATAAGTAAAGATTTTACAGGAGTTACAAAAATAAATAAAACCATAAGGTACATGTAATAAAGATCATGTACATGGGGTTTTGAGCATAACAAAAGCTATGTGAATACTTTGGCTGTGAATTAAAAAAAAAAAAATTTGTAGCGCAATTTTTGCATTTATTGTATTCTTTTAGAATCTTGACAGAAACGTGAATTGGAGTGTGTGGTTTAAACATACATTTAAAAAGAAATTTGTTCGTATTGACTGATCTTCTATCTTACCTGATGTGATGGTACTTCTTGATGCCAGCGAGAGGGAAGAAGAACGGTGCAAGAAAGCTCTGCCAGTCGTAGCTTGGTACGATAACTGTACCATCCTCCAGTCCCACAAGTCGAGGAATGTTGTGTCCGTTGACAGAGCTCTCCTCTACAACGTCACTGATGTCCTGCAGGCTGCTGACGAAGGTCCTCTTGTATCGGTGTTTCACAAGGCCAAATGTACGATCGGGTGAAAACTTTGTGTGTCCGGATACCATGAAATGAACACCAATCTCGTCGTGCAAACCATACAGAGTTCTCCAGGCGAGATACCACATGAGAAATTTGTTCTTGTTCTGTCCTCCACAGTTATCACAGTGCAACTGCAGCACTCGCTCACCCCTCCCAAACTGATCGAAGTAGTCGTGAAGATAACTTATTACAGAGTTGGAACCTTTGCTTGAAGTCATCCCTTCATCGATGAGGTAGTTAACTTGCTTGTTTGTACCATCACATGTCACTCCAAACAAACCGCATTTCCTTGGGCATAGGAAATACATGGGGCCAGGGTGATCAGGATCGGTGGGAAAATGCATCTGTTGAGCATAGTCAAAGGAGTAGTGCATTTCCTCCCCATCTCTCCCTTCCTTGACGGCAGCTTGGGAGTCAAGAACCATGTCCCGGTATAGGTTCCTCTCAACAGCAACATGGGCAAGGTGTTCTGTCTGGGTCTGGATACGGCCGAGCTTGTCTTCCTCAGTTAGGTTGGCGCTCTGGTACACTGCAGAGTTGTTCTTCTGGCACTGCCAGCACAGGTCAGTTTTGGGGCGAGATGTGATCACAAAGGGGCAGTATCTCCTCCAAACATTAAGAAATGTTGTCTGCTTTGCACTTCTATGAGGAGGAAGTCCTGTAATAAAGGGAGAAAGAGTAGAAAATAAAATTGAGCAAACTCGAAACATCAATTTCTTAATACATGTTATGAAATTTATTACTGAGAACAACTTTTTCATATCAACTGCACATTGCTTACCACTTTAGACAGATGAGTAACAGATTTCCCTTGTCTTAATAAATTATTGAAGTGTCCTATCTAGAAGCCCAAGTTTTTTATCAAACTTTTGTTGCTGTTATATCATAAAAGGAAATACAGGCCTACTTTTCTTTACAATTAAACAATTCAATACTTTTTGCTACATGCTGATTGTTATATTGTTATTATCATAAACAGGAAATATAGGCCTACTTTTCTTTACAATTATACAATACAATACCTTTTGCCACACGCTGATCATTCTTGGAGGCAAGTTCCGTCTCATAGCTCCTCCAGACAGACGCCTTCGTCTGATTGGTCGGGAGAAGTCTTATACGGGGATCGGAGCTCTTGACGCCACTGATGCGCCCTGGAATGACGAGGCCTTGGGTGTCTGCGAAGTTTGTGATAAACGTCACAACTCTGTTGATGTCATCGCTGCTATGAGCTGCTTTGTTCGCCTTGATGCCACCTGATGCCTTAGATGGAGGGACGACCCCTTTCTGTAGGTAGCTTTTGGTGATATTCCGAAGCTGGGTGTCACCAACACTGTGAGATAAGAGAGGAAAATAAAGAAATTATAAGATTTCATGGTTCAATGAATCAACAACCGCATTTCATTATCCAGATAACTAATTTTTATGCCTCCGCCACCGAAGGTGGTGCCGGAGGCATCATGTTTTCGGGTTGTCCGTACGTCCGTCCCGTTTGACCGTTATCACAATATCTCAAGAACCATTTAAGATTTAAACTTAAGACTCGGGAATAGTATTTATCACCATAGGAAGACGATCTGATTAGATTTTGGAGTACGTAGGTCAAAGGTCACAGGTCACAGAGGTCAACTTATGAAATTCCTTGTATTGAGTTTGTTAGCGCGATATCTCAAGAACCATTTGAGATTTAAACTTCAAACTTAAGGATAGTATGTATCACCATAGGAAGACGATCTGATTAGATTTTGGAGCACGTATGTCAAAGGTCAAGGGTCACAGAGGTCAACTTATGAAATTCCATACATTGAGATTGTTATCATGATATCTCAAGAACCACTGGAGATTTAAACTTCAAACTTAGTGATAGTGTGTATCTATAGGAAAACAATCTGATTACATTTTGGAGCACGTAGGTCAAAGGTCAAGGGTCATAGAGGTCAACTTATGAAATTCTATACATTGAGATTGTTATGATATCTCAAGAACCACTGGAGATGTAAAAACTTCAAACTTAAGGATAGTATGTATCACCATAGGAAGACGATCTGATTAGATTTTGGAGCACGTAGGTCAAAGGTCAAGGGTCACAGAGGTCAACTTATGAAATTCCATACACAGGGTTCTTGTTAATTTTTCTGATAGCAGGCTATTTATGATTTACAGGAGGCTACTAAAATTGCAAAAGAAAAAGCGCACATCACGAGCGCGAAGTCCCTTGCGGCCGGGGTCCAGGGCCCGCCCAAGGGCCCTGGAAGCTTTAGGGTTTTAGATGCTCTCTGGTGCTATCTTAGCCTTATTTTTGAAGATATGACCACACTGTATGATCCATAGTTTAATGATAAAGATCATAAATATTTTGGCTGAATAACTTACTTTTCATATGATATACAATATGAAATGAAAATGCTCCATTATTGTTTCTGATAAATCAATCATATTTGTGATGAATCTACAATTTCGAATTACATGATAATGATACAAGGTAGTCCTGGGCAAAAACGGTTAACTGACGTTTACAGGACCTTGTCAGTGAAGAAAATCGTTTGCGATAAAAAAATTAAAAAATTGGAACACACATAAAAAAATATGACAAATTGGATTGGTAAATGGTTTGCAGGTATGTGACAGCTGTCACAGGGGTCTGGGGGTGTTACGAATACGTTATCGAATCGTGCATCGCCAAATCAATCACAGTTTCACACTCATTATTACTACCGGTATTATTTATAATTTAGCCTACATTACTATTTACATTTCAAATAAAAAACTTACCTGTACGTTGCTTCTTACTCTTAATAGTAACAGGGTTTGTACGGGTCAGGGAATTTCTGGAAAGTCAGGGAATTTAAAAATGTTTTTTCCAGAAGTAAAAAGTCAGGGAAAGTCAGGGAATTCATCCATTTCTTCTGGAAAGTCAGGGAAAATCTTTTTTTTTCAAGATGTTTGTTAAAATGGCATTTAATTTGTCTTGTGAACAAAGGAAAAAACATTTGGTAAAATCTGTGGTTCACAGGACCTTTTTTGTAACACGCAATATCTTTAGGACCTACTGGTACCGTGTCTATTGTGTCTTTCATACTGTATGCAAGATGTTTGTGCGCGTGAATGACTTGCAGTGACAGGTGCGGTGCGTGGTGCCGGTGTGTGTACATACAAGAATGCTGCATGCACGCTGTACGATTACTTTTTGATCGAGCTTGTGCTTTGATTTTGATTAAAAGTTTGAATGAAGGTGTTTTACCCTGGGGTTTTACCACAGAATATTCATGAAACAATAATTTAAATGTAAATAACTATGTATCATGAGCCACTCGTGTTTTCTTAAGAACCCCTTTAAAAATTGTGTTGCTCTTTACTCGAATATCGCAACCCTGAATCGCATTTGATATACATTTGGCGTCCATTGTGCGAGCGCGAGCATACAGCCAGTAGTTAGCTAGCCTAGCCTCGTGGTTGCTGCTTTCCCCAACGTCCGCAATGAAGGCACACTTTTTTTCCCTCAGCAAAATATCCAAAGTCGGGGATGGGCCTTATACAGTCAGGTACAGGATATTTGAGTCCTCAAATGCTACTTTTTATTGGTTTCAAAAATCTCTGTGTCTCAACATGAATTACATAATGCAAATAAAGAATAGGATCTACTATTTGAAGTTAAACTACGTTCCAAATTTGAAAGGAAGAGAGTTTTTTTTCCCGTTTTTTTTCTTCAGTCTCGATAAATTATGCCCTGTCACAAGGACTTTGCCGGCCGAAGCTCTCCCGTGTCTCCAGCTCACTCGCCTGTATGATGCAAGCTCACTTACACAGGGGATAACGAATCACCACGTGAAAACTAGCCTGTCCACATTTCTGTTTGGACTCAGAGGAAAATTCTGTCATCTTTAGTTTTAAAAACAACATTGTTAAATGGGTCTAACTTAGTTCACAAGCACTTCAACTGTGCCTCGTAATAAAATGAAAGTATTTTCGAACGCTGTCACTAAAATAAGAGCCGATCTGATGTTAACAAAATGACCAATGTTGGCTTTTTTTTGGTGGCTTTTTGTTAACCAGATCAGATCACGTCTTATTTCAGTGTTCTAAAAATACTTTTACTTTTCATTATACAAGGCACAGTTGAAGTGCTTGTGAACTAAGTTAGACCTAGGTCTAGTAACAATGTTGTTGTTTTTTTCCAGATTTTTTTTCAGATTTTTTTTTAGATTTTTTTTTTTTTATCTTCGAAATAGGGGTGCGCCTTACAGTTTTGTAATTTGCTTCCTAGTATTGCGATGATGTATAGTTGTACGCTTTAGATTAAGACATGTTCATCATTGAAAATGGTCATGGAAATTTACATTATCCTGCTCTGGAAAGTCATGGAAAGTCATGGAATTTTTAAAATGTGTAAGTGTACGAACCCTGTAGTAAGGAAGGAAGACATCGATGTCTACCGTTTCGATTCCATTTTAATTCGACTGGCGTGCGATCTCGGAGATAAATTCACTCAGCTAGCTCAGCTCGGCTCACAACGCGCGCTTTTCTTGCGTAAGCTAGCTTGCCGGCCTGCGCTTGGCTCTGGCGCACTGGGCATATACTAGATAGCTCTGCCCCCGCGTGCGCCGCGCCGCAAGTCCATATTTTAATAGGGTTTTATTTTACGATCGTTTCGGAGACGTTTCATCTCATTTCTTTACGACCGTTTTCACAACCCCGTGCTATGAAAGCGTGTCTTCGTGAAGCTTGTGATAACAGAAATTTGAGATAGCGACTTGACCGAATATGATGTGATTTTTGTATTATTATTATTTTTTTTGGAGAGGCTTACAGCCGGCTACGATTGCCGTTACAGCCGGAAAAAATAGCCGGTTGCCGGCTATTAACAAGAACCCTGCATACATTGAGATTGTTATCATAATATCTCAAGAACCACTGGAGATTTAAACTTCAAACTTAATGATAGTGTGTATCCCCATAGGAAGACAATCTGATTAGATTTTGGAGCACGTAGGTCAAAGGTCAAGGGTCACAGAGGTCAACTTATGAAATTCCATACATTGAGATCGTTATCGCGATATCTCAAGAACCACTGGAGAATTTTCACTTCAAACTTAATGATAGTATGTGTCACCATATCATAATATCTCAAGAACCACTGGAGATTTAAACTTCAAACTTAATGATAGTGTGTATCACCATAGGAAGACAATCTGATTAGATTTTGGAGCACGTAGGTCAAGGGTCACAGAGGTCAACTTATGAAATTCCATACATTGAGATTGTTATCATGATATCTCAAGAACCACTGGAGATTTAAACTCCAAACTTGTTTAAATTGCTCTATGGCGGAGGCATCATTTTCAACTGCGCGCAGTTAAAATTCCATCTAGTTTAAGATCAAAATAGACAGTTCATTTCATATAAAACAAAACAGAACCACAATTAATGGCAAATCAAATTGATGCTAAATCAAAAGGTTTCTATTATTGTAAAATACAGGAAATCAAGTTTGCGGGATTAACTGGGGCAGTAATTAAACCATGTTAAATTTCATAATATCTTTTCTCATGCTCTGCCCATTTTATGATTCCTCCAATAAGAAATTAAATGATAATCTACTTCTAGCCAATAGCATTTTAGGTGTAAAAAATCATGTCCAAATGTGCATGGCTTGGATACGAACTGGCAAGTCCTTGCAAAGTTTTTTATTAAAAGTAATATTGAATTCAACATTGATTTGTGAAATTTTTGGTTAGTAATCATCTGAGTAAAGGTGTTGCATATTTAAGCAAAGCATGTTAACAAAAGGCTTCTATTCAACATAATGCACTTACCTGTGTAGAAACATGTAGGTCTCCCTGCACACACGCTTCCCCTCTACCATGTAGCTGACTCTTGCCCTCTGTCTATCCTTTTGTCCGGCTCTCTTAGAGCATTGGGTTGTCTCACCGCACTGGATTGTCGCGCTCACTCGCCCCATGATAAACATTTTCCTTTCTTCAGTTTTCAACGCTCCGTCCATCATTTGCGCTCTCAGTCGCAGAACAAAAGTGGGATCAAACTGCGTGATGCACGATGATGCTCTTGACTTGCAGGTGCACTTTTCAAAGTTCTCTACACGAAGAAGTTCTTCACCGTTTGCTTCCGAAGACCAATCGTCAGTCCCAACTCTTTAATAATAATAATAATAATCCGGTTTTTTATATAGCGCTCAATACACCGATCCAACGATGTACCTAAGTGCTTTTACAGATATATTATTACCCCGGTTATCGGATTCAGGCTTACCCGCACACAATGTGTGCACATTTTCCACTCCCTGGGGAGCATTCCAGCCAGTCGCCATTTTACAGGCGCACACTTGCTCGTTCAACCACATGAACGTTCGCATCCTACCGGGTACCCATTTAACACCTGGGTGGAGAGTAGCAAGTGCAGGTAAATATCTTGCCAAAGGATATTAGTGCCGTGTCGGGATTCGAACCCTCGACCTTCGCATCTACAGTCAAGCGCCTTAAACCACTCGACCACGACACTTTCCAACACTTCTCCAGCCAAATTAGGGACAACAAGCTGAAAATCATCATCTTCACCTTCATCCAGTTCCATATCCTCCTCTCCCTCTTCTCCCTCTTCTCCAATGTCCATTTCGTCGTCAGTCTCATCGTATAACATGTCCTCGTCATTATCAGGAATTCTCTCGTCGCTGTCTTGCCCGAAGTGTTCAGTAAGCAAAGCTGTAAGGTTGGCCTGATCCCCCGCAGCTAGCCCCCGCATCATCGCTTCGTTGACCGCCCGAGCTACCCGGGCATCTGCGTTGGTGCACCCCGGTACCATCCCACGGCTCTGCTCACGTACAAAACCTGGCATTGTAACGACGTTGTAGACTTTTTCGCAACTTGTCACTCTCAAATGTATAAAATATAATAATGTTCTTACTCTTGATCAACAAATTCTGGATATGTGATGTACAATCAAGCTACTCGAAGTCGTTAACGGAGAATATAAGACGAACGCAAACCTGGAACTCGGATGTGAAAGCGGATACAAACAAAATGGCGCGCCGCACTGATTGCTATAACGGACCAATCACAGCCCGCGTAGCACGACCCGTTAGCAACGACCGACCATTTCCGGACTACGATAATTTCGCTCGGGAAAAGTGATCAAATTTTGGAAGAGACCGAAGGCTGTGCGAAAAAAACTTGTCTTGAAAAACCGTTTAAAACACATCTTCTACTATGTTTTAGACTTCCAAATTTTGATACTAGGTACAGAAAAGACCACTCTTTCAGAAAATGCAAAAAAACAAAAATCTATTTTTTTCACCTAAATTGACATTTTAGCTGATTACGGAGAATCGCTGGTTGCGACTTTTTGTTGGTTTTGTGGTGCCGGGTCACATATAAACATTTCCCCCAAGAACCATTTAGTTTTTATTTGGTAGACATTTTGAAAGTGTATAGTTTTCATTGACACGCACTGTATAGAGGACTTCCACTTCCCTTTTCCACAAAATCTCAAAATTGATATTTGACCCCAACCAACTGATACAACAGTTTCAATGAACGCCAAAGATACATAGTTCCTGCAATACCACAAGAATGACAAACACAAACAGACCAACACACGTCAACCCAACAAAATTACCCTTTTTTACCTCTGGTAGACAAAATGTTGAAACAAAAAATATATTTAAATTCAAACAAACTTACTTGTCACTCGTAAGAGCAATAACTTGGCCAGTCTTATCCTCATCATTCATTACCACTGGCTGCAATAAAACAAACATAAAGATATATAGCACATATGTGCAACAACAAAATAAATATGAAATTAACATAGTAAATTAAAACCCAATTCATTTCAAAATAATTCATAGAATAACAATCCACATTTCACAGAAAAAATAGCATAATGCCATGTATTATAAACTTACAACCCCAAAATGGTGTTTATTGTATACTTTTCCAACTCTTCCTGCTTAACATCTCCGCTAATGCTTTGACTGCAATAAGATGCAGAATGCACATTTGCCAATTGCCTACATGTATACCCATTGATCAACCTGTCTGATTATTCTTAAAGTCAAAATAGGGGCTTTATTCTTTGACCTTTACTCAACAACAGATGGCACTATACAATAACAGCTAGTATTGTAACAATCTCCAATTCTTCATTTATACCATGTATGTCATGTATCCAAGAACAAAAATGGATTTTATTGAATCAATTGTTATTGTTGGCATAAATCTAAAAGCACAATTTCTTTTTCCCAGACATTTATCAAAACTTTGTGGTGACACTGCTCAAAAACATAACTCTGTCATGGATTACATATCATATTTACCGGGGGCTTCTAATCAAAACGTTTCTTGGAACATACCAGTATAATAAAAACTAAACCAACTTAATCATAATTTGTGAAAATTCAGTGCCTTTGATATCATATATCCATGATAAAGCTATTAATAATATTACTATATTAATATTTATAATGCGCTTTTCCCATATAAAGGCTCTAAAATCGCTATATTATTACCCCGTTCCTTGAATTCGATTCCAGCTGCCATTTAACATTTTATAGGCGTGTATATCATCCTCCCAGGTATGCATCTACACCTGGATGGAGTGAAGCTAATGTAAGTAAAATGCCTTGCCCAAGGAAATAAGTGCCGGGGATCAAACCCACTTTCAACTTTTCAACTATTGTATGCATACAAACCTCAACACGCATGGCTGACGTCGAATCCAATTGTTTTATGTTGTTCCATTCCGAAACCTCCACACACTCGATTTTGATTCGATCATTTATGTGAATGGGAATGTCCGTATGTTCTTCCCAGAGGCTAAGCCGAATGGACTCCTCTCCGTCATTTAACGAGACTGTGCGTATTCTCTTCCCTCCTGCGACATTACGGACTTGTCCAACCTACACAAATACAAAATATGAACTACAAAACTCACCCATAGTTCAAATATACTAGTAAATAAAAACTTATAAACCTAAAATATACAATGTAGGCCGTACCCAAAAATTACAGGGCCACTCTTTATATTTCCATTTCAAATGAATCTCATTGCAAAAGCATTGCCAGGTTCAAGAAATGAGATTATCGTAGCAAACAATATCGTAAATGCAAGATTCCATAGCAGTTTGCAGAAAATCCATCCCTATTTGGGTGATGGGCTCAAACTTTAAGTCCAACAATTACCAAAAGAGCCCCTGGAACCTTAAATCGAAAAAAACATGTTTCGACATTTGCAGATGAGGGAAACTTCCATTATGGGCGAGGGTGTGGAAGCAAAGCCCCCAGAACATCGTACAGAGGGTAAAATTAATACACAAATACAAATAATTATCATACAACTGACAAAGCATGGCATACATGTACATTGCTGCGGTCTCTTTTTTCCACCTCCGTCCACAGACTTAATTTGTACAGAAGTCAATGCGTGCGTACGAGTAAGTGGTCACTAAAATGTTGCAACAAAAAAACAACAAAACAACGCTTACCTCTTCCACATTCGCCATTACGCTAACACGCTTCTTCGTCGGCGACGCTTTTACTTGTGCAATGTTAAGAACAGGTGGACTTAGGTAGTTCTGTACGATTTCATCCGGAAAATCAAAAGCTGCAATCTTGTAGAAGAACTGAAATAAAAATGAAAAGAAAATTCATAAATTTCAATTAAAATCAGCTTTCCAATCATATCACAAATAGATACCCTCAAATTATAGACTCCAACCACTTATTTGTTGAGTGTTCAAAAGGATCTAGGCCCATTTCATTATTTATACATTCAATTTAACCAGATATTTGTTTTTAGCAACACCTATTGCTGATCCATCTCGAACAACACTGGTCAACTGGAAGAAGAAGAATAATTTTTCAGGCCTGACCCCCCCCCCCCCCCCAAGGGTCTAGGGTCTAGATCAAAGTTTGCTATATCTACTTTTTTTTTTAAATTTTATTATTGATTTTTGCCTTGGTCTTGGATTTAGATGAAACTGGGTTTCAATCATGCTTTTGGTTTTGCTAGACCTAAGTTGGTAGTCTATTAGCCCTAGGAACGCAGGCAGCTTTGCAGGCAGCAAGAACGCAGGTTCTAACTTTTTAGGCTCATCTATCCAAAATAAGTGAGTAATTTTTTCATGCCATCCTCATAGCCTAGGGCAAAAATCTGAAAATATTTTTTTTAAAATTATACCTACCTGGCATCTTTGTTCCTTCTTTAACAGTGACGGGCCATTTACTTTTTTTCCCCAAGATCATTTCTGTGCCAAAATCCGTGATTTAGACGATTCAAGAGCTTCCAATTTCCGTACCACAGCTTGCATCCCATTTAGATCGTTGACAAATATGTCAAATAATTCCTCGGGTTGCCCTTCCACCCCCACTTTGCCTTGCATAAACGCACGTCCACTTCTCGGGTTCTTGACCATGAAATTTCCAACCAACAGAAGTTTGGTAATGCTCGACATCTTAATTATCACGCAACAATACCGGTACTACCAGCGCAGCTAATTCTATATCATCTACTGACGAACCTCAGCGCGCCACCACATCTATAATACCAATTTATAAAAGCCATGTGTCAGCATTATTTGATGGAAAATTTTGGGATATACAATGTACGAGTAGCCTAGAGGAGCTAATAAAATAACCTTGCTTTAAAATAAATAATAACAAATCCTAACCAAAGACTATGAATTCCAACAATACATTTGATTTTAATGATCGTACATTAAAAGTTAAATAGGCCTAACAACACCAAGTAAGATGAAAGCACATGAGTTTTCATAACCCCCCCCCCCCCATCCTAAATGCACACGTCTATAACACGGTACCCTAAATATAGGCATATTACTGGACAAGACGCCTCATGAATTTTGCATAATTAAATAACGTCACATAAAAAAAGAAAGAAAGAAAAAAACATAGAGGAAGCGATGCTACTCCCCACAGAACAAAGCAGTAACTGTAATGGAATGTATTGTGCAGTATTTTATGTACAACACTATATGAAATCTGATTCACTGACGTGCATATTGTTGTTGTTTTCCAGTTTTCACGCTCTCTTTCTGTCTCTCTTATTTAAATCTCTAACACACGTTCTCAGCCTGTCCTATTATTTTTCCTTTTCCCCCTCTCTCTCTCTCTCTCTCTCGGTGTATTTCTTACACTTCTAGTGGGGGTTGTTAGGGATATTTTGGTT